GTCTAAGAAACTGTGTTTAACCAGCCGCAATGATTGTCGATGTGTCTTAAAAAAATCAAGTACAATTGTTTTTGTAAATTATTTGTATTAAAATTTTCCTCGTCTCTTCTTTTGTTTTCATTGCTTTTGCTCCGGTCGTGCACGGTGAAAGTGTACTAGTCATCAAATCTGTAAAATAATCGCAAGCGTAATGAAAAAACACTCGAAAATATGTGCTGCGTTTTAGTTATAGTTTAAAAGTGCTTTGACCCAAAGTAAACAATGAATGAATGAAACCAGTTTTATAAAAATTAATTGCCATATTCATGCTCGCAACAGCTGTTACGGCTTAAAACATTAGTGAATGTAATAATCATTTCACAAAAGTGTAAGTAAAAAAAAAACAAAACAACAACAATTAATCTCACTATTAACCTCTTACAATCGTTTCACCCAGTGGCATAACGGTACAGTGCTTAATGAAAGCAAAAGTACATCACTCTCCGTATTCATTTCAAAACTTTTCATACAAAACAAAAAAACGGGGAAGATATTTATTAAATCTCAAGATGCAAATCTCTCAAAAGTAAGAAATTTTTAGCTTAAATTTTTACAAGAAATTTTAAAGAAACTTAATTTTTTCGGTCTCTTCTGTCTTGTAGTTTTGATTTTCTACTACATCTCGTTCCAAACAGCGTTAGATCATCGAAATAATAGCCCCTTGGGCGAATACCATTCGGTACGTAGTATCAAGAGTTGTCTCGAACCCAAAACTTGCCAATTAATGGCGTATTCGCACATCTTCGGGTGCCTAGTTTTGCTCCTGCTGGTTTTCGATCAAAAATGAAAATATACTTCGTAGTTATTTGTTGATGCTTTTTTATATGATAATGCTCCAGCTTTGTTCACGATATCCAAAAAGTAAAATAAAAATTAATAAGGAATACCTTATTGTCACTGAACGTTTTGTATTCTTTTCGTATTTCATTAATAAATGTCTCTGGCAGATTGAACGATATTTTCGGTAAAAAGTTCGCAATAGGAACTGGTGTCCACGTATTTGGTATCTGGACGAACTCGTCCTCATGTTTTTTTACCAAGAACCAGGTTGAAGTAAAAACTTAACTTATCTTCCACCTTTTACAGGGGCGTTTCTTGTGTTGTATTAGGGTATTAAAAAAGTATTAGTAATCCGGTTTGAATGATAGTTATATGCTATATTTGTCCAATGTGAACAATTTCTTAGGAGATTAGGAGACAATTATCTTGGTGAATAATCTATTGCGAATTTGGTAAATACACCTTGTCAAATAAAAGGGTCCGTTAGATTGGATAATAGCTATATGCTATAGTGTTTCAATTTGTTCGGAGATTGTAGCGTTGCCATAGATAATAATCTGCACCAAATTTCGCCTAGATAATTTGTCAAATGAAAAAGCTTTTCGCACTTCGCAAGCACTACTGAAGCATGTTACAAAGGACCTGAAGGAAACTCTCTGGAAACTGTGCAACAAGTATTGAAAAGTGTATCTGGTGTTGCTGGAAAACCAGGAGATCTAGAAAACAATCTGTTCTGCAGTTTTTCTTTATGTCCGGTCCCTATGCTTATTATAAAAGTTAAAACTGTGTCCATACCTAACTATATGCTGATATAGGCATACTTGGATAATAGGAAAACTGCAAATGTAATTTACCGCTCTAGAACCAAATGCGACATTGACGTTAATACTGGAAAATTTATACTAGTGGTGTATGAAATATGCTCACAAAAGACCTTATATGTTCATTTGCTGCGAACAAGTATAAGCGCTAAATATCTTGGGCTTACAATTGTTAAGGTGGCACGTTCAAATCAAGAGAACTCAGCTCGGGTTAAGGTTTGTGCAGCTGTACTGAGCGATAGCTAGACGTTCTCCACCGGAGAGATTGCTAGGACTCGGCGACGGCGGCTCTCTCCCACAAGGAATCCCACACCGAATTTGCGCTCCCTTATATGGCTAGTATAGTAAATGCCACAAGAACATAATCGTCTCAGTCCTTGTCCCGTTCATCGTACTTCTTGAACGGCGGTGATGCTAGCTTTTACTCTGACAAGGACATCAATCAGGTCAGCAGCGAGCATCTTTCCAATTACATTCCAGTTGCATGCCCTTAAATCGTAATCCTTAATACGTTTGCGGTCGTCATCAAAAGGGTGTCTCTCATCCGAGGTTGTTTGCTTTTTTCATTAGGGGCGTATTTTGGCTACTCAGAGGATACTTGGTCTAAGACTGGAACTACTCCCAAGTCCCATCCTCCGTCTCCTTCATCCTGTGTTAGAAATCACGTCCTCTTTATTTATTTAATTTTTTATTTAGTAGTTGTTACCAGACCCAGACACGCAGAAGGCAACGTCGAAGACCCTATACAGTATATATAAATGACAAATAAGTAAAAATAAAGAGAACATAATTTTTAACGTAATATTGCTATCTCTGAAGAAATTGTTCAGATGGGAGCACTATACCATAGCTGTCATAGAAACTGAACGATCGGAATTAAGTTCTTGGAAGGATTGACATTTATGTATTTTTGAAGGGAATTTAACTTCGGTGCCATCAACGGCAACGTTTTTTCTTAATTTTTATTTCTTTCTTTTTGTGAGATCGGTTGGTGTTAATCTAAAATAGTACCTATGTACTTCTAATATAGAAACGAAAGAGTAAACCTTTACTGGATGAAATCAAATCAGTTTCTCACAGCTGAAAATTGTAACGAACTTAGAAATAATTATATAATACATAAATGGAATTCATCTAGCTTTGATGTTGAAAATTAAGCATAATTTTATTTATATCTAGAAGTCCTTTGTTAGACACCTTCTACTTGTATATAACTATTTTTCATATAACTTAGATAGTTATGTGTTCCTGACCTACATCAAATAATTACAGCTAACTGTATAATTGATTAACGGTGAATTTTGGCGGTTTCACAACACATACATATACGTACGACCATAAAAAGCCGGCTAATGCAAATATATTTTTATCGTCATCGCCTAAATAAGTCATCCTACCATTTTTGTTTACTCCGCGAAATTCTACATTCTAAGTTGTTCTGTTATTTCATATTTGTTTGCTTCTTATTTTACATATAATATTTATTTCCTTTTTCGAACCGGTAATATTTTGGCTCTTTTTCTTCCTTTGACTTCTTGTTGTATGCCTTTGCCTTTCTTTCGTAGAATTTATCTTTTATGGTCAAGGCTGTATTGTTTATTAAAACAAATACATTTCCTATATCTGTTACACACACACACACGCACAAGACAGTCTTCTTTGCTGTGAGGCAGGGCAGTGACAGAAGGCGTGCGTCAGGTATTGGCTGCACTAACGAGCGTTTTAAGTGAATATTGCCCAAATTGTTCAACGATTTGGGTCAAATGTTACTGATAACGCGGTGAATGGTCAACACGAATATGTCTATGTGTACATTTTTGGAAATTGATGGAATTTTATGGAGTCTTCAAGAATTAGGGCAATAAATGTCGAACATGTCGAAGCTGTCATTACAACAGCAACTGCCGACTGGTGTACAGAAGATAGTGCTTGTGATTGAGTCAGAATATAGTGTTGAAATTGTTCGGTAAAAGTAAAAGATATCTGCATTTAAATCTAAGTGAGATTTTATTTTTTGTGTATTTAAGTTATTTGTATAACAAAAAACAAATTATTTGAAAAAAATATTATCAGTAGAGCATAGAAAATATTTGAGAAAATGTGAAACTATTTTCAAAGACAGTACAAGCACAATTTCAATACACGTCTTTAAATAATATTTGTAAGCATTTATAGCCGTATGTCACCTACTTCCACCGGCGGGTACTGCGTCGAATACTTTCAGAGCCGGGCAAGATGACCTAGCCTCTTCATTCGCTGACTATGTCTATGTCATCGTATATCTTGTACAGCTCATCGCTCCATCGACTTTGGTACCGGCCATTAACGATGCACAAAGGATCATAAACCTTCCGCAAAACTTTTAACTCGAACACTTCTAAGGCGGACTCATCACATAAAGTCGTCGTCCATGAATCTGCATCTCCAGACCTAAATGATGAGTGACCTGTAGAGTTTGGTCTTTCTTCATCAGTGGCCGACTTTACTTATCAACGGCGTACTCAGTACAAACTAGCACTTGTTTGCAAGAGTGATTTTGGCGTTGTCCTTATAGAACATAATTCCTATCCTACTTCCCAAAGTTGGCCACTTCTGCGAATGTTTTTTTTTTGCAGTTAGTCAAATCGTTGGCACTACAGAATGCGTCTGGCTTGCATTTTCACCTCTATCGAAGAAAAAAAAAAATATGTGACATATTGTGGTGTGGATTGTTATCTTAGACAATGTTATAATATCCAAACAATCAAACCACTGTAGCATAAAGCTGCGGATGAGCCATCTTTGTGGATGTGTCAAAGCATGGAGGAAGGTTAGGGGAGGTATTTACTGTGAGGAGCTCTAATTAACGCTATCGGTAGAATGAGAGCGGGTCGGTACTCCCGTATTCCCTTGTATTATATCTGGATATCTAGATATCTGGGCTTCGCGGAACCTCGGCACTGTCGCAAAAACCTAGGCCCAGGATCGATCGCAAGAGATCTAGAGATCTCTTTGCCCTCAGTAAGATCCTAATTGTGGAGCTTTAACAGGACATTTCTCTAATGGCCTCCATGCTGTAAGGCTGGAAATCTTACCAGACTCTATCTGCAGAAGCTGTATTGAAGAAAATGAGAACGAAACGAGAATTAAACGCCTGTACGAACCGGAGTTCTTCTTTTTTATGGGTGGGGAAAGGACTACATATATCAGTCCAAATGCGATCCCTCTAGATCAGACGTCCAATCTAACCTCAACTTTAGTCCAAAATAACCAAATATCCATATTTAACCAACTCTAAAAAAATTCTACAACTTATGATACATGAATTAACACAACATTTTGTAATAACCACTTGCACTTGCTATTTTCACAATTCCATAGCTGCTTAATGTCCCAAATGGCATTATGTCATGTCAGTGAATATATAATTCGTCATTGTTAAGACTTGCATAAAGGAAAATTCAGCAAAACGGCGGTGAACGTACAACTACAGCAGCTGCTCACTTGGGTGTACTTGTTGTGGCACAACCTGAGCCCAGCAAGTCGTATCAAAGGCCTAGAACGGCAACGACAGCTGCAACTCGATTGTACGAACACCACTTCCAAAGCCACGGCTGCTTTAGCAAAAACTTCGTTATTGTCATCATCATCAGGAAACATAACAACAGCGTCTTTAATCGGTGAATACGCTAATCATCATTATAATCCGGTAAAGGGTAAAGAAGCCATTAGCCAAACTTAAGTGGTTGTCACGACAAACGCTTACACTTACATCCCTACATACACATTCACTTTCGCCACCCGCGGACGCAGTCGCTGAAACGGGGCAGAATTTGTGTCAATAATAAGCTTCCGCATATTTGCCTCTTCACCTTTTCGCTTTTCACCGACAACGCTTTCAAACGGTAAGTGACAGAGTGGCGGCGGCAATGACCCTAACCACTGCTACACAACCGGAGAGTAGCAAAAAAATGGATGCCAAGTGTGCGGCTGAGGAGAATTTGCCATCATCAGAAATGGATCTATTGGCCAAATTGGAGGCCGCTAACAAGCTCATTGAGAGCGACGCGAAAAGTTTGAATTCGTTGCATTCGACGCATAGCCGTAAGAATTCCGACACCAGTCAAATCAGTTTGAATTCAAGTAAGTGTAAGTAAAATTTCGAAAATTTAAAATTACATATATGATTTTTATCGATTTATTTACTTTTTCATTTTAGCTGGCAACTCGAATGCCGAAGAAGACATTTGGACGCAATGGGCGACCATATTGAGCGATTGGGAGGGTGCGCTGAAGCGTAAAAATCCATGTGTACGCGATCTGGTGCGTCGCGGCATACCGCATCACTTCCGGTAAGTACAAAAACATCACACATCAAACGTAAATATGTATATGCATATACTTATACATATGTATATGCATATGAATATGAGGTATTTGAAATTGGCAATAAGTAAGCTGAAATTCTCCTAACATGAAGGCCAAATTGATAATGCGTGTTTCCATCGAAATAAAGATTACAATAGTAGCCACGCATGAATGATTGAATATCTCTTTTGAATGAGAGTTTTTTTATAATAACTATTTGAGTGAAAATCCACAAATTCAATGTTTGATGAATGCTTAGAAATAAAAATCGTGTAATAATCTGCTTTAAAAGGTCTAGTAAAAATAAATAAATTGTTTTGCGAGATCCGAACAATAGCGTGCCAGTCCAATTGCTTACAGCACAGATCCGAATTAAGATTTTGGCTGAAGCAAAACCTTCCTGAACAATATCAATTTTAGATGATCTTAAATTGACCACGATTTGTGTCGGCTTTTCGCGATTCGACCATGACCGTTATCACTTGACGTTGGCGCAAGTAAGCTAAGTGAAGATTCGGTCCATGACCATTAGGTTTGCGTCGGAGACCCTATAAATTATATATGTCCATGGTATGCTGAGCTGTCCGTCTGTCTGTATATATACGAACTAGTCTCTCAGTTTTTAAGATATCGTTTTGAAAAATTGCAAACGTCATTTTCTCTTCAAAAAGCTACTCATTTGTCGGAACTGCCGATATCGGACCACTATAACATATAGCTGCCATACAAACTGAACGATCGAAATCAAGTTCTTGTATAGAAAACTTTCACATTTGGCAATGTATCTTCACAAAAGTTGACACAAGTTATTTTCTAAGATAATAATATAATATACGAAGATACTGTTCAGATCGGCTTACTATAGCATAAAGCTGCTATACAAACTGAACGATCGGAATCTAGTGCTGGTATGGAAAACTTTTCCATTTGACGTGGTATCTTCACGAAATTTGTGCAGATCCGATTACTATAACATATAGCTTCCTTACAAACTGAACACATAGTTACTAAAAGAAATGCACCTGCGAAGGCTTTATTTCCTTCAGTGCAAACGAAGTTAACGTTTTTTCTTGTTTTTTTTTTTTGCGTCAACTCGTGCGAAACCCGAACATCGAGTTTCGTTTTGTTTACAGCTATGTTTAAATAGGTCCAAAAACGGGATGTGTACCATGTTTAGCACCTGGGCTTCCGAAACAGTGCTTAAATGACTGTTGGACTCGGTGATTTCCATTATTTCATCGATTATTTTCGGCACATAGCCTTCCAGAACGTGGTAAAGCTTTGACAGCTAAATTATATCTATTCTTCAACTGGTCTTTTCAAAGCAATGGAGGTCTTCCTCTTTTTCTGCTCCCCCGACGGGTACTGTGTCGAATACTCTCAACGCTGGAGTGTCTTCATCCATTCGGACGACACGACCTAACCAGTGTGGCCCCTGTCTCTTAATTTGCCGAACTACTATATGTCATATATCACGTACAGCTCTTCCTTCCATCGACTACAGTATTCACCATTGTCAAGAACCGCAGAATCTTTATCTTCGAAAGCCCGCAACGTCGACTAATCAGGTGTTGCCCTAAATATAATATTATGCCTGAACGATCACTTAAAGAGAAAATATTCAAGAGTTTCACTTCTACAGCATAAGTATATTTATTTTATTTTATTCTGCTTCGGTATCTTCACATTCCGTACCGATATCCATACATTTTTAATTTCTCTGCAGAGCTATTGTGTGGCAACAACTATGTGGTGCCTCTGATACGGACAAAAAACAGTATGCTGACTACATTAAGGCTACCTCGGCCTGTGAGAAAGTTATTCGGCGTGATATTGCACGCACTTATCCAGAGGTCGATTTTTTCAAAGAGAAGGATGGTCCTGGTCAAGAGGCGCTCTTCAATGTGATTAAAGCATATTCGTTGCACGATCGTGAAGTGGGCTACTGTCAGGGCTCCGGTTTCATTGTGGGTTTGCTGTTGATGCAGGTGTGTAAAAAAATAGTAATGAGTCTTTGGCATAAACGCAACGTATATGCTATATAATATATAATATTTAATGATAACCTTATTTTTGTCTAGATGCCCGAGGAGGAAGCTTTCGCTGTGCTTGTACAAATCATGCAACAACACCGCATGCGCGACATGTTCAAACCATCCATGTCGGAGTTGGGTTTATGCATGTATCAACTTGAGAGTTTGGTGCAAGAGCAGATACCCGAGATGCACATACACTTTCAACAGCAGGTAGGCACGAAGCACTCGCCGATTACTTTGGTATTAAGTTATGCATTTTGTACATATCTCAAGCTATAAATTTTTCTTCTTTTACACTTTTTCATATCTCTTTCGATCTTTCTACAGGGTTTCCAAACAACCATGTACGCTTCCAGCTGGTTCCTTACACTTTACACCACTACACTCAATCTAAATCTAAGTTGCCGCATAATGGATGTATTCCTTAGCGAAGGCATGGAGTTTATATTCAAAGTGGCGCTAGCGTTACTTCTGCTGGGCAAGGAGACGCTATTGTGCTTGGACATGGAGGCGATGTTGAAGGTTAGTGTTAGTAATATTAAATGTTTATGGTAGAATTTCGGTGATGAAAATTTCACCGAAATGGTTGGAAATCAACTACGGAATCAAAAAAATCAAAAATTTTGACTTTTGGCCCAAACACAATATATTTTCATTTTGTATTGTCTTTTGCTTCACAAAGCTTAATTCACAACTTTTTACTCTTCTTTATGTTGTAGTTCTTCCAAAAGGAGCTGCCCGGTCGCGTCGAAGCCGATCCTGAAGCATTTTTCAATTTAGCTTACTCCATTAAAATCAACACGAAACGCATGAAGAAAATGGAAAAGGAGTATCAAGACTTGAAGAAGAAGGAGCAAGAGGAAATGGTAGAATTGCGTCGTTTACGGCGTGAGAATCGTTTGTTGAAACAGCGCAACGATTTATTAGAGGCTGAAAGTGCCGAATTAGCCGATCGTCTGGTGCGCGGGCAGGTTTCACGCGCCGAAGAGGAGGAAACTAGGTATGTGGCTGAGTATGGGAATAAATTTTAATGTCTACAACGTATTTGTTATTAATTTTACGCAACGAATTATTTTTCAGTTATGCAATACAAACAGAACTGATGCAGCTGCGTCGCTCATATCTCGAAGTGTCACATCAGTTGGAAAATGCCAACGAGGAAGTGCGTGGCTTAAGTTTACGTTTACAGGAAAATGTAAGTTTAACCACCTTATTAATTGCATTTATCATATACATATATTGTGCCTAATCATGCAATATGTTGCTAATCAAACTGAAATTGTCAATTAAAAAATATTTCTTATATTATCTTCTTTCTTATTGCGGTGTTTTGGTGTTTAACCCAAATTGAAATTTACACTTTCTTTCGAACAAATAAAACACTGACTCACTCAACAAAAAATTAACAAAAAAAAATATATATAAAAAATTAAACTCAACAAAACTCACACACAAATTCTTGCCTCCTCTAAACAGAATGTATCCATCGATAGTGTAAGTAATGCGCAGCCGCCGGTGAAGGAAATAAAGGTTAATGTTTTTTTCTATCCCTCTTGCTTGCTAACATCGAATATTATAGCATGTCTCTTCTAATAACAAATATAAAGAATTAACAATTATTTTCTTTTAGTACTAACATAAGTTGTTATAAAGTCTATTAACTTTTAACACTAGCTTACAATTATTTTTTATTTAATTGATATATGTACCTGCAGAGTAAACCTGAGTTAAATTTTGACCGCTATTATATTTTTTACCCTGAATGGGGTATACTAAGTTTGCCATGAAATTTGTAACGTCAAAAAGGAAATATTTGAAATCCATATAAAGTATATAACGGCATTTTCAATAAGAGCGCTACACATGTTTTTTTTTTAATAAAGCAAAAACAGGGATATTAATGAATGAAGTTCATCAATCGTCGCTGGTTTGTGGGAATAAACCATTGACTTGATGTAGCCCCACAGGAGATAGTCTAACGGTGTCAAATCGTGAAGACCGAGAGACCGAGGCGACCAATTGACTTAGCCATTTCGTGAAATAACATGTTCACCAAACTTGGATTTCAATAAAACGATTGCGACATTCGCTGTGCAGCTTGTGGCGCCGTCCTGTTGAAATCACATATTATTCAAGTCCATATCATCCAATTCAGGGCAAAACTATTCGGTTATCATTGAGCGGTATCGATTTCCATTCACAGTATCGTGCCGGTCTTAATCATCACGGAAGAAGTATGGCCCAATGATGCCGCCGGCCTATTAACTGCACCAAATCGTAATTTTTTCGTGTTGGAATGGCGACTCATGAGTATATTTTGCTTATTGACGAAGCCATTTTTTTGATAAAAATCCGGATCATTTTCCAATCCACGAACATACGACAATTGTGGTGGTCAAGCGGCTTCAGTTCTTGCGTCAGTTTGATCTTGTAAGGATGTAGCCGAAGTTCTTTTCGGAATATTCTCACTGACGCTGTAATATTTTGTACTGTGCCTGTGAATTAAAATTTTTCCACTAGATGTTCAATTGTTAAACTGACAGGCCCATTACGGTCATAAATTGGATGTAGCGCTCCTAAAGTTGAGGCCATTGACTCCGAATTTCGGTAGTAAATTTTAATAATTTCGACTCGTTGTTGGATCGTATAGCTGTGTAGATTTAGTCATGTCCATATGTTGTTAAATACGGGGACTAGTCCCTCAGTTTTTGAGTTAACGGTTTGAAATGGAAATGGAAAGGATGACCATCATCCAATCTCATTTTTATAAGTTACAATGTTATGTATTTAATGCTAAAACTAACATTTGCATGCGTAGCTAGTACTGTAATGAAATGTTTCATACAAAAACCAATGCATGTCTATTTTTCCAACATTTGGCTAAGCACATTTTTGTAATGAAAGCATTTTGCTTCTCTTCTTCCTGCCTTTTAACAAAAAAAAAAATTGCAGAACAATTCACGTCAATCATCCATCGACGAGTTGTGCATGAAGGAAGAGGCGCTTAAACAACGCGATGAGATGGTATCATGCCTGCTCGAAGAGTTAGTCAAAGTGCGTCAAAGTTTGGCCGAGAGTGAAGATCAAATACGCAATCTCAAGTCGAAAATCGAGGAACTCGAAGAGGACAAAAAGACACTACGTGAAACTACGCCCGACAATTCGGTTGCACATTTGCAAGACGAACTGATTGCCAGTAAATTGCGTGAAGCCGAAGCTAGTCTCTCACTGAAGGATCTCAAACAACGCGTGCAAGAGCTGAGCACACAGTGGCAACGCCAATTGCAGGAAAACCGCAACGATCACAGCCAACAGCCTGTTGATTCGACACCAAAGAAATTGCTTACGAATTTCTTCGATACTTCCAAATCGAATGAGCATACGCAACGCTTGGAGGAGGAGTTGATGACAACACGCATACGTGAAATGGAAACGCTCACAGAGCTGAAGGAGTTGCGCTTGAAGGTTGGTTCACACCCACAATTGTTATTAATTTGCAGACATTTCTTTAATTCATTTATTCATCTTTATATTTTTTTTTTTAGGTTATGGAACTCGAAACACAAGTGCAAGTATCAACAAATCAACTGCGTCGTCAGGATGAGGAGAATAAGAAATTGCGCGAACAACTTGAACAGGCTGTAAGTCGCGAGAAAGAAATGGCCAACAAAGCGCGTGAGCAACAACACAGGTACTTTTTTGATTTTTTTAATCATTTCATATAATATCATTATCTTAACGATTATTTAAATATTACACAGATATTCCGATTTGGAGTCTCGCATGAAGGATGAGTTGATGAATGTTAAGATTAAATTTACTGAACAAAGTCAAACTGTTGCTGAACTGAAGCAAGAAATATCGCGGTTGGAAACAAAGGTATTTAAAATTTTGTTTATCTTTATACCCAGAGCGGAGTTATTAAGTTTGTTACACCCAGAAGAAACATGTGCGACCCTTTAAAGTATATACATTTATATATAAACGATCAGGATGACTTAGGTGGTAAGGTTCAGGTTGATTGTCATCGAAATCATCAAACAGTAGGCCCAGGGAATATGCTGTTTCGACACGGTCAGTTCATAGGAAATGGGGTGTTAGAGAAGTATGGTATACAAAGAGGGGTTAAGAGTCATGCGGGGACTCCTCACATGCGTCCAGCATCCATATATTGGGTATATCTTGGGCGTTTCTGAATAAGTATGATTTTAACCTACTACAGTATCCGGAACGAAGTTGAGCAAAGGTTGCTCTAGATTTTCTTTATTCTTTCGCCATGTGCTGTCGGCTAGTAACTTGATGATTTATTGCCCACCTCTTCAGTTCTAGAAGGAGGACGGATCGTTCGATGTTTACCACCCCTTGAAACCTCTTGATTTAGAGCACGAATTATTTGGGCGTTTATGGAGCTAAGTGGGGTGGTGCTGTGCAATTTACAGCCTAGTTGATTGTCTGCTAGATTCAGGTAGTAAGTGAACGTGTAAAAACTGCTCAGGCCTATACATTATTGGAACGAGTACTGTTATCAGATGATAAGACTTTGGTTGGATGATTTTCCAGATTTTAGTAGTGCGACCATCGGTTATTAGAAGTGTGGTCGCGACAGGTTGAAGACCCGTCCGTTTGTTCCTTTTGGGTGTTGTTGTTGTAGCGACAGGAAACATTCCTGAAGTAATTTCGATGAATCGGGTGTTAGAAGGATGGTCAGCGCCGGGTTGAGGACCTTGGTTACCTACGTCCGTCTGTCTTTGACCGAATAAAAATCCGGGTTATTTTCGGTGACTTAGACCCGACTATTGTGGGACCGGCCTCTGGATGTTACAACTTATACCGAAAACTTAATATTCCCTGAATTTTACTATGTATTATATCTTCTATTCACCACTAACTACATTCTAATAATTTATGAACGTATTTAATTAAAATAATTTTATTTAATAGAATTCGGAAATCTTAGCTGAAGGCGAGCTGCGCTCCAATTTGGATGAATCAGACAAGGTGCGTGATCTGCAGGATCGTTTGGCTGATCTCAAAGCAGAGGTAAGTTGCTATTCTTATTAATTGGAAGCAAACAAAGCAGTAAATATTTTTCTTAATTAATTTTTTGTTTATTAACAAAAAAATCTGCTGTAAATAATCGAAATTGTTGAAAAGTTCATCAAACATTAATATCATTTACATAATTGCCGCGCGCTCATAACTACGCACAGAGTGACGAAGCAGACAAAATATTAAAGAATTGCTACATACATACAAAATTTTCTGTGTTAAAAAAATGACTACAAATAATCCCTGTAGGTTCTAATAATCTACTAAAAGTGCTATTTATCGTTTGTGAGCTGTGAGGATTTTCGTTATTGTTTTTGAAAGTAAACATTTTTTTTGTTTTGTATTTTTTTTTTTTACTATACAAATTAACACCCATGTGTTTGGAAGGGAAATGCATCTAAAATTTTCTATGCCTATGCTGACTGGCTTTGTGCGCCCATTTATAGAGACAACAATTGCCTGTAACACTCATACACACACATGCTTGCATAATTAGAATTTTTGGTATCGAGCAGTCAAAGCGCTGCTCATAAAAACATTTTGCCACACACACAATTATATATGTGTACAAACGCCAATGCGTATGTATTAGGGTGAGTCAAAAGAATTAATGTTTTTAGTTTTCATTTTTCAAAGCTTAAATTGAGTTGAAAAAAATCCACTGAATTAGATTTTTTGGAAAATCGACTGCGGTATTCGTTGATAAAAGACGAAAAAAACATTAAACATTAAACATTAAATAATTTTGTCATTGTCCATGCCTCTGCACCATTTCGCAGGAGGGGAATAATGAGTGACTTATAGAGTTTGGTTTTTGTTCGTCGAGAGAGGACTTTACTTCTAATTTGCCCACTCAGTCCGAAGTAGCGCCTTTTGACAAGAGTTATTCAACGTTGGAACGAGGCTGACGTTGTTGTGGGTGTTGATGCTGGTTCCAAGATAGACGAAATTATCTCCAACTTCGACAGAAGATATTTCGTCTTGCCCTCGTTCACTGCCAGACCCATTTGCTTCGCTTCTTTGTCCAACCTGGAGAAAGTAGAACTAACGCCGCGGTTGTTATAAACAATAATATCGATGTCATCGGCGTACACCAGCTATACACTCTAATAGAAGATTGTACCTTCTCTATTCAAATCTGAAGCTCGAATAATTTTCACCAGCAGTAGATTGAAGAAGTCGGACGATAGGAAGTCGGCTTGTCTGAAACTTCCTTTGGTTTGAACGGCTCGGAGAGGTCCTTCCCGATTCTGACGGAGCTTTTGGTGTTGTTCAACGTCAGCTCCTTTTCGTGCCCTCAAAAGCAGCTTTGAAATCAACGAAGGGATGGTGTGTGTCGATTCTCTTTTATCGGACTTTTTCCAAGAATTGGCGCCGGTTTTGAAACCTTCTGTTAGTCGAGCATTACCTCTTGTCAAGCTATTCGTACTCAGGGTTTACGGCCTCTCTCTTATTGTGGCTGCAAATACGTAAGGAACTTGAAATAATCTTCCACAGTTCCCTTACACCGAGTTGCTGACGAGTACTCTCAGAGAGTAGGAGTGAAAATCGAGCAGAAAATCGTTCGGCTGTCTGTTGTGGTTGCAGCTTCTCGCTGCTGAACCTTTCTTGCATTTATTGACGTGCGTCTTTTGCTGCACAGAAGCGGTTGCGTATATTGACTGCAACAAGATAGTAGTCCGAGTTAATGATGAGATTACGGAAAGTACGCACGTCTAAAACAATGGAGACATGTTTTCCTTTCATTTGGCGGCTGTTCGATCCGGAGATAATCCTCCTATAATTGTTTTTTTTTTTTTTGGCTAACCCCTATTATGTACATACATACATATGTACGTTTTCAGTTGCTCAGTTTCATTCAGTTTACTTAAAAAGCTTTGCGTTCATACTTGCGTACAAGCATACATTCTTATATATATGCAAATTAATCCAAAAAATAAAATTTTTGACATGTTCTTCCGCTACCTCGTATGTATGTATGCGCTATTTTGTTGTTATTCTATTAAATATTACCGGAAATTCTTGATGAACCCTTTTTTTATATAAAACAAAATAATATATGTCTTTAGTTTATGGAATAAACGTTTTTCATAATAATTCTCTGTTGCTTTTGTTTTGGATAATTTTTTTTTTCATTTTTCTACATACAAATATAATTTAACTGCTCACATGTCAATATCAATTATTCACTGTATATGTATTTTTTAGTATCCCACGCCAATAACAAGCCCCGATACTGAACCATGGAAGTGGATAAGCTTAATAAACAAAGAATGAAAATATTAATGAAAAATCAGGTCATTACTAACCAACCAACCAATCAATTTACATAATTCAAATATTTACTGATTTTACGAAAATGTACTCTCATGTGTACAATACAACTGCAGAAGTAATCATTAAGCGCATTAGAAATCAACAACAAAAAGCATCATATTTCGCAAAAACAATCAAAAAAAAAAAAAAATTGAAAAATTATGTTCTGGTAGTACAAATTTAATCACATACTACATACATGTATTCCGTTGCATGCCGTTTCTTTAATTAATTTGCTAAAATAATAGCATTTGCATGACTTGAAAAATATTTTGTATTGACCACTCAGTATACATTTAAGTATTGGAACTAAAGTTTATGAAATGCATGATTTTTTTGATGAAAATAATATTTGTTATACAACTATGGGCAGAAAATAGTAAGACTCTGTTCACAATTTTAAAATTCTTAATTTATTCTCTAAAATTTATGTCGTCCCCCTCAAAGTAATTCCCCTTAACCCCAATATGTTTTTTCCAATCAACAGTTGTTTGAATCACCAAGCGGTTAAAATTTCATGTCTTCCATTGACTTAAAACGGTTTCCCTGGAACGGTCGTTTGAGTTTGCTGAATATCCAGAAGTCACGCGGAAGTAAATCAGGCGGATACGGTAGTTGTGACACGATATTGGTTGAAAATTTGCCGCAAAAATCACGCAGAGTCAATGCAGTTTGAGACCGTGCATTATCGTGGCGCAAAAACCAAGAGTTTCCGGTATTCTTTTACGAATAGCTTCGCGCAAACGACGCATAACACTCAATAGTATTCCCTGTTGACAGTTTAACCTATGGGAAAGAATTCGGAATGCTCGTTAATCGAAGAAAACTGCAAATGTAACCTTGATATTTGACCTACTTTGATGTGGTTTTTTCGGTTTCGGGTCACCTTTTCCACCATTCATTGATTATTATTACCGAAGGCCTTTTCCAACATTCTGTACGTTTCGGCAGCAGAATTTTCATTCCGTACACAAAATTGAATGGAACTTCTTTGTTGAATAATTTCACTCATCGTAAAAAATCGCTGAATACGCTTTATGTACGAGTACTCCAGAAAGATAAACGTAGACTAAACAATAATGTCTATTTTGATGTGACATTTGAAAAGGTGTTATACCAACTTATGAAAAATAGTTCGACGAATGGGTTTTTCGCGCAAAAATTGATATTAAAAGGTCTTTCTATTTTTTGCCCACAGTTGTGCTTATAATTTATATTTTTATTAACTAGTCCTGACCTTAAAAGAGTTTCTCGCCTACTCCAATATTTAATTAATATCTCAACATGTGATGTATGTACTTAAATACATATTAATCGATTTAAATTATAATTTTAATTTTCTTAAAACGAATATTCCTCTTTGATGTTCCCATAACCAACAAATTACTGATATGGTCAACTTGGCGTCAAAAGGTCGATTGTAGTTATGTGCAGGGGTGGATCCACGGGAGTGGAGCTGCGGATATTCTCTTGATCTTATAGGCCATCTAGCAATGTCTTATAGTAATCTAAGAAGATCGTGTGCAAATTTTAAGTCGGTCCGTCCTGCCTCTTCGGAGAAAATTTCCTCAATGACTTTAATAACAGCGTTTCGTAAAAAGCAGTGTTTAAAGGTTTGACTGCTGAGTAGACAAAGTGAAAGAGTTCTTACAAATACCCGCATATTTCAACTTCAAATTTTCCGCCAATATTCTTAAATATTTGTGTGGACATTCGATAGATAAGAAAAGGAAATTTCATTTTCTCTTTTCTAGTTTTCTTCAATCAAAAGAAATTATAAATTTCATTCATTAATTCATAAACTTGGATCTAGAAAACAACAGTATTTTTTTAATTTTGGTGCGTACTTGAATGTACGACTCCCAATACGACATAGCCGAATTCTCAATCTCAAAGTGATTTCACTTTAGAACTGAAAAATTAATGAACTGATGTTTATAACTGCAATTATGACTAACCTCAACTCTATTTTATTTGAATAGCAAGATATTTAAAGGTTTCGAATATATTTTTTCATGTCATCATCCCTAAACTTAAAAAAACACTACTTTTGGTAAAATGTGTTTAAATCCGACTTAGCGGCGTATATAGTCAGAGGGCACCAGATTTGGCGCTGGATACCTATTAAACCAACATGTTCGATCTAATCTTTTAAAGGAAATCTTTATAATTAGAGCAATCATTAGAAATATTCAAAAAAGAGGTTTTTTTTTAAAATCGCGGAGGTAGCAAAGTTATCTCTAAAGCAATAATAACTTTTTTTTGTTCTTTGAAGTAATCCAAATAAAATGTAATTCCTCAAAAAAGAATATACGTTGGGACAAAAAAGCAGCTGCAAATTGTAACTTAATTCCTCAGGTAAATGATATTACGAGAAAATGTATTTTGTTAAGTTGGTAGGACTGTCCTCAATTAATATGCCAAATATAAGCCCGATCTGTCATTCAGTTTGCTTACAGCAGCTGCTTAAGTCAGTATACACCTCAGTAGTGTGTTGTTTGTTTTTAAAAGAGATAAAAATAATGATCTGTGGAATCCATTTTCAGTCGCTCAAAAAGATAAAATCAAATTCGCTGAAGGCCATCCCATAAAGTCCTTATGAAAAGTATCATTGCCATAAGTGTATTTTGCGTTTTATATACAATTCCTGAGTACCTTTTCGTCACAATGTATTATATTATTAAATTGTCTCAAAATATTACCTGTCTTCTTTAGACTACTTTATTTTGAGTTCAGGAATCTTAGTTGCAACTAGTGTTTACGGACTATTTTTACTCCAGTCTGAAGTTTACTGTTTTGAACTAGTTTTTTAATCTTTCAAATAATAAAATATATTTATATATAGTATATATGTATTTACATGTACTCCGCTCCTTCACCCCATACCTCATGACTCACTGCCACATAGTAGAGTTATTCAAATTGGTTCGTATTCGTATTAGAATTCTGTAATATTGGTTAATGAAATCTATTTAAAATTACATATTTGTTAACATTTCGTGTATGCATGCGCATTAAATATATATGAATATATATATATGTATATAAATATATCAAAGAGTTGTATAGTGAACTTAAATATTTTCAACTTTATCACGCATTAATTTCGAAAATTTATTTCAACATACTTTACAGTTAACCGCCATTCGAAGTCGTGGCAAATATCCAATTAATAAACTGCGCAGCTCGTCGATACAGTCGATCGAATCCAACGAGATCGACTTCAACGAATTGAATATGCGACGTGAGAGCGCCGAATTGTCAACCACATAATACATAATGCGGCTGCGGCGAGAGGAGTTAGCACACAAATTGCGAGACACCATTGCACGGTTGTCCCGTTGATATTCTAATTTTTCATGTGGATATTATGTAGACAGTTATTGCGAGCATATTTATAAGGAATAAGAAAACAACACACACACATACTGCTATTATATTACGCAAGTAGAAAATTCCAAATTAACTTAAATTAAAATAAATTATTTTATTTAATTGCTTATTATGCCTTTAGATGTAAGTAAGTTTATGCATGTGTATATTATGCTCTTGCGGCGATTATGTTGAAACCCATATTATTATTAATTAATTATCAATTATTAATTCTAAATAATTTGCATGCCAACATTCATATAGTCTAGTATGTAATATGTATTAATAATTTATTAGCAATTTGTTATAGCGTCTATACCAATTGATGACTATTATATAATTATTAACTATTAATATATTTAATTGTTGTAATTTAAAGAGCAAAATATATAAATAAGTGTATTTGTCTGCAATACGCTAGTGCTGAAGACTAAACGTTTTAACTGCGCGCTTAAAAGTATGCAAGCATAATTA